TTTTTAAATTTCTTTTTTTTTTTTTTTTTTTTTGAGACGGTCTTGCTCTGTCACCCAGGTTGCAGTGCAGTGGTTCAACGTGCCCTGTAACTCCTAGACTCAAGTGATCTCCCACCTCAACCTCCTGAGTAGCTGGGACTATGAACGTGCACCACCACACTCAGCTAATTTTTTAAAAATCTTTTTGTAAAGACAGGGTCTCACTATGTTGCCTACATTGATCTCAAACTCCTGGTCTCAAGTGATCTTCCTGCCTCACCTTTTGTTTTTAAGATGAGAATACTCTTCTCATCTAGAGATTAGAGTAATATTCACTTCTAGTCTTAATTTTTTAATGTAATTTTTAAATTTACCTGACATATATTTTGTCTATAAGGTAGGATTATATAAATTTATTTTTTCCAAATAGTTGGCAAATTGTCATAGTACCATTGATTTCCATCTCCTTCTGAGGCCCTTGATAATTCCCTTTAGGGAAAAGACTGTAGCAACCAAATAACAACCACAAATAGTTGATGAAGTGAAATGCTATAGCACCAGGTTGTGTAAAATCTAAGAAGGAAATCATAGGGAAAAACACAGCTTTTATACAGAGAAGTGTGATTGTTGTTATACCTCTACCACGTACATAGTTAATTACTTCTGTTTCAGTTTTTTCCTATTCCCATTTTCTATGTCAGATGGCAAACCCAACCAAGGGTAGACCATTCATCATGAGGTCTCCATCAAGTGGCCTGATTGCCATTTAGATCTGGTTGTTTTGCTGGTCAAATCAGTACCCTGGTAGGGTGGTATACTCTTTCTTTCTTTCTTCCTTCCTTTCTTTCTTTTTCTTTTTCTTTCTTTTCTTTCTTTTTCTTTCTTTCTCTTTCTTTCTTTCTCTCTCTCTCTCTCTTTCTTTTTCTTTTTTTCAAAAATTTTTTGAGACAAGTTCTCTCTATATTATTCAGACTGGTCTCAAACTCCTGGGCTCAAGCAATCCTTCCTCGTCCTCCCAGATTGCTAGGATTACAGATGCGAGCAGCCCATTTTTTAAGTTATAACAAAATTAATTTACTTCAAAAATTACTTAATCGCAAAGATAAATGACTAACAGAATTACTAGACAAAGGCCTGGGGGCGGTGGCTCATGCCTGTCATCCCAGCACTTTGGGAGGCCGAAGCGAGTGGATCACCTGAGGTCAGGAGTTCAAGACCAGCCTGGCCAACATGGTGAAATCCCGTCTCTACTAAAAATACAAAAATTATCTGGGCATAGCAGCGGGTGCCTGTAACCCCAGGTATTCAGGAGGCTGAGGCAGGAGAATCACTTAAACCCGGGAGGCGAAGGTTGCAGTGAGCTGAGATCACGCCATTGCACTGCAGCCTGGGCAACAAGGAGTGAAACTCTGTCTCAAAATAAGTAAGTCAATAAATAAAAATAAAAATTGCTAGATAAGAAAGCAAACAAAATAAGAACCTCACATGTTGTGAATCTAATGTTTCCACTCACGGGGGCACTGGTAAGGATCCTTAGGAGATCATTATCTGCACATCAGTCAGGATCCAACTAGGAAAACAGAAAGTAGTGTGCTCACTTGGTTCCACAGAGATAAAAAGAAGCAGAGAAACCAATCAGGGGACAGTGAGTAAACGTGTGGAGTATTTTGCCGCTTTAAAACTGCTTGGCAGGATCAAAGGGTTCTTCTGCCCCTGGAGCTATCTAGGCAACTGTAAAGAATCACTTTTTACTTTTAGTTGCTTTGGTTTTGCTTCACTGCCCACGTGGTGTGGGTTATGCATAAACACAAATGCGGTCGTGCCCACAAGCTGGTTAGATCCTGGCCTGGTGAACGGCTTATTTGAACCCCACTGTAGTTGGTCACATTGGCTCTACTTGAGCAGTTATGTTCAATGCCTGTTGTAAACATTGCTGTCAGGTATTTTATGTGTGGGTCCCTTCTTCAGATGTCAAAAAGGTATAGGAAAATGACTTTTGGGATTGTACGTATTTGAGGGGAGGTCTCGGTTGCTGACTGAATTACTACATTTGCACTCGAGCTTGCCCTTGGGAGCTCCCCTTCAGCATTACCGGGGCCAAGTGAGAGCTCTGTTTGCTCAAAGTTGTCCTCTAAGTAGTGGGTATTAAGGGCTTCCTGCCTCAGAGTAGAAAAAGCTCTTCACTCCTCAGAGCAGAAAAAGCAGGGGGATTCTGCCAATGGCCTTCTCCATGGGGAGTACATCAGGGAGGGTCTGTACCCTTCTCTGCACTCTCTGGTCTGTTTCTCAGTGTCTCTTCCTCCTTAAGGACATCAGTTTCTCCCCTATTCTCAGCAACCCCCCCTCCTCACCCCACCAAAATTCATTCTTAGTTGTAGGTTATGGTATAGCACTGGCTCCACAGTAGGTAACTGGAAAGGCCAATAAATTAGGTCATGTCTATCCGGTTGTGTAATTGCTTTGCCTCTGCCATCCAGGCAAGTCTTTAAAAGGTTTATGAGTAACACGCTCCCTCCAGGGTAGCTGTCTCCACCTTCAAAGCCACACCAGGCCTCACCCTCAGCCAGCTCTACCCAGCTCTTTGTACTCCCGGTTCCACTGAGCTCAGGCTCCAGCTTCTTCCTTAGACTTCCTTTCGTTTTCCCCATGTGTCAACTTATAACACCTTATCCTGGGCCTTCTAGAGCCTTAAGGAGAGTTCACAGTCACAAAACAATATAGAAATGTAAATTTTTTCTTAAAAACAACTTGCACGTGTCTAAAACCCACCTCACAAATATTGTAAATGCCACAACTTCCAAAAAGTTCTCCAAAACAACAATGACAGTTTTATCATTAAAGTGATAATACTTTTTAGTGGCTCATGCCAGTGATCTCAACACTTTGGGAGGTCAAGCTAGGAGGATCACTTGAAGCCAGGAGTTCAAGACCAGCCTGAGCAATGTAGTGAGACCCCATCTCTGCAGAATAATTTAGAAATTAGCCAGGCATGGTGGCACATGCCTATAGTCCCAGCTATTTGAGAGGCTGAGGTGGGAGAATCGCTTGAGCACGGGAGTTTGAAATTGCAGTGAGCTGACCACGCCACTGCACTGCAGCCTGGGCAACAGAGTGAGATCTTATCTCTAAAAAATAAAAAAATAGTCTGGGCACAGTGGCTCACACCTGTAATCTCAGCACTTTAGGAGGCCGAAGCTGGAAACTCACTTAAGGTCAGGAGTTTGAGAGCAGCCTGGCCAACATAATGAAACCCCATCTCTACTAAAAATACAAAACTTAGCCGGGCATAGTGGCGTGTGCCTGTGATCCCAGCTACTCGTGATGCTGAGGCAGGAGAATCGCTTGAACCCAGGAGGCGGAGGTTGCAGTGAGCCACGATTGCACCACTGCACTCCAGCCTGGGAGACAGAGTGAGACTCCATCTTAAGAAAAATGAAAATAAAAAATGCTATTCTGTTCTCAGCTTACCTGAACTTCATCTCTGAGGTGCTGCAGACACTCACAGGTGGCAGTCTCCTAAAGCTGGAAGATCCCACACCTCCAGGGGCCTGGGCCATTTCGGGAGGCAGGCCAGGCCCTGGTTAGTCTCTTGGCTCAGACCTGCTTTCCTTTCTGGAAGGTGGACAGTCATCTGGAGGTTTTGACTGTAGGTCAACCATCAGCATTAAGCATTGGGAGTAGCGCAATTTTGCCTTTTTTCTTGGATCTGCCAGGTATGATAAACTCCTCCATTTGCAGCATTGGGGCAGTTGTCTTTGGAACCTGTCACTGTCCCAAGACCCTCCTGCCAGTGCCTCACAGCATCAGGAGCCAGAGGTCAAGGGACCTCCGTTTTCCTCCATAAAATGACAGCCCCATAGATTGTTTTTCCATGTCATGATTCAGTGACACTTCTGTTCAACAGCACTAATTTACTTAGCGGATATATTTGAGATCCTACTGTGAACCTGGTACCGGAGATATATAAATGTTCTCTGTAACCTTTCAATGCCGTGAAGGAGGTGGGTTTAAAAACACTACTTGCAGGCCAGGCGCAGTGGCTCACACCTATAATCGCAGCATTTTGGGAGGCCGAAGTGGGTGGATCACGAGGTCAGGAGTTTGAGACTAGCGTGGCCAACGTGGTGAAACCCCCGTCTCTACTCAAAATACAAAAATTAGCCAGGCATAGTGGCATGTGCCTGCAATCCCAGCTACTTGGGAGGCTGAAGAAGGAGAATCACTTGAACCCAGGAGATGGAGGTTGCAGTGAGCGAGATCACACCATTGCACTCCAACTTGGGTGACAGAGAGAGGCTCCATCTTCAAAAAATAAAAAATAAGAAAATAATAAATAAATAAATAAATAAATAAATAAAAACAGTACATCCACTATAACGTGACAAATGATAAGATAGTCACACAGAGGGCCGCAGAGGTCATTTAACCTCATGGGAAGTCTCAGAGAAGACTTGCTGGAGGAGGTGATGCCTGAACTGAGTCTTGAAGGAGATGAGAGGTGAATAAATGTGAAGTGAACAGCACGTGGAGTGAACAACATTAGGCAAGCCCATAAAGATGTGAAAGACTACAGGGAGATGCAGACACCATCAGCAGTGAATGTCACCAGAATGCAACGTGAGAGGCAGCCACAGGCAAGAGAGTAAGCTGGGGGCGGCAGGGTGGAACGTGGACCCGTGTGCCGAGCCAAGGCCCCTGAGCTTGACAAAACTGGAGGGGAAGAGGAGCCACTGAAATGTTTAGAGCCACTGAATAACAAGGTCAAATTAGGTGGATAGCTATGGGTGGCAAGTGAAGCCTGGATTAGGGGAGAATTGTGTTTAGGGGCCTCCATTAGGGACGAAGAGAAGGCAAGTGATTTAAGAAATACTGGGAAAGTGGAATTAGCAGGGCGTGGTGGCTGACTGGCCGCAGGAGGAAGGAGGAAGGAGAGTTCATATGAACTCAGGTTTCTGGCTTTGACGAGTTGATGGCATTTGACCTACTGCTGAAACGAGTGGGTCCAAATGGATTCTATACTTTGTGATTCCAGGGTAAGGTAATATATCTGAATACTAAAGGACATCAATTCTTCAATCAACTCTGAAATATTTAAAGCCATATCTCTTGTTATACATTATTTCTCAGCGATTGAGGTCAAATTTTAGGCCTGCGACCAACATTGGGGGTTGAGGGGAGGTGTGGACAGATTTCAAAGCAGAATTCTGGCCAAGGGAGCTTGGAACTTGTGCCTCGGCTCCAGATGGCCCGGTGAAGGACTTCTGGGAGAGAAGCTGAGAGCAGCCACCTGACAGGAGAGGAGGGAACCAATTGGTTCTCAGGAGCCACCACACCAGTCAGCCATGGTGAGCAGCCTGCCAGGCAGCAGGTGCCTAGCACGCCAGAGGAACCCGCGCGCGCAGTCATTTCCTCCCCTGCAGCTTTGGACTTCAGTCAGGAGCTTTCTCTCTCCTATTCTAAGCAAAAATGGTTAAGGCCAACTGATTATTGAGACCCCCTCCCCCCGCTCAAAAAAAAGTAAGACACTTTATTTCAGTAACTGCTTCTCCTCCCTGAAGCAGCGACAAGCTGGCTTTCAACGGCGCTCTCCCCTTTGGTATGGGGTCAGCAGAAGGGTGTTTCGTCTTCAGCGAGTGGGAAACCCCCTGTCTTCAGTGTGTTCTGCCCACGGGGATGGGGCACTGTGGATTTTGGTTTTGAAGCTTGTCCAGAGTCACTCAAGAGAGACAAAGCCGCCATTCTACTGTGTGCTACCCAACACCCACCAGGTAAGCTACTGAGCAACAGGATGAAGCCCCTGGAAGATTGCTTGGCTTTGGTATTCCAGAATTTGCTTAAATGTGTGGAACACACACCCCTGAGTTTAAAGCAGTGAGGCTGAGAAGAATATCTTCAGCAGGCACAAGGATAAAGGAAAGAGATACCCGTTCCCAGTTTATCATGATGTTTGTTTGCTTAACTAAGTCCCATTTAACATTTGGGGGTTCGAGATTTGTGATGTTTTCATTTTTCTTGGAGAAATACTTGACGAATATTTTGAAGGCCTAATATTTATGTGGGCTATGAAATCTGCTACGGTAAATGCAAAGTGTGGGACTCAAGAAATGTATAATCTGTTTGGGAGGACAGAACACAAGAATTCAAACAAGAATATAAGGCTATGCATGACTAAGTACTTAATGGGCGGCATGGACAGCAGTGAGGTAGGGTTTTGGAGAAGAGACAGATGGATGGGAGCTAACATTATTAGGCAAAACTTCAAAGAGGCTGGCCTTGAAGTGGCAGGTGGATAAGTGGGAGATAGATAAAGGAGAATGACTCCCAATTATGGCTTAATACTTCCATTAAACCAATTCTACATAACATATTTATTGAGCTATAATCAGGAGTTGGAATACGTAAATCTTCAATTCAGAAACACTGTTCATATCAATATTGGAAATTAAAGGCTGATGTTTATTTACTCAGAGTAACCGCAGGCTTGTCAGATTTCGTCCCACCTGACTTCTTTCTCTTCCCCTCCTTAGCAATCTGTTCACCATCAGTAACTTCTACTAAAGGTTCACTAATTTTTAACAACCTTGCACATAGAGTGAGATTTAAGTTAATTGTTTTTGTTTTAAAATTCTGTAAATGTCAAATAGAAGAGAAGCACGAAATCATTTCTGATAAAAATAGAAGTTAAATCTGTGTTAAAGGGTTTTGTGGTCCCTTTCTCCCTAGCTGTGGCTCTCGGCTGAATAGGTTGCATCAGGCAGTGATCACGCAGTGTGTTGGTGCTGTCTGTGTTGAGTGACTGGCAAAAGACCACAAAAAGAAATCTTTAGTTTTCCCTCCAAGTCTCATTCTTTACGTGGGAGCATGGGAAGCCTCCAGAAGACTTGCATGATCCTAGTCTTGAGTCTTCTTCTGTGCATCTATCAAGGAAAATGAGAGAATTTCAGAGCAGCTGGAATTATTTATTTATTTATTTTGGAGATGGGGTTTTGCCATGTTGCCCAGGCTATTCTTGAACTCCTGGGCTCAGGCAAGCCTCCCACCTCGGCCTCCCAAAGTGCTAGAATTATAGGCATGAGCCACCATGCTCAGCCTGAAATTCTTATTTATAAGCCAGTGACACAAGACTGTAATAAAACTATTAATAGATAATAATCGACCTCATCATTTGGTCATTTTCTCTTGATGCAAGGCCAGCAAATAAAAATTTTTGTATCCACTTAAAACAAATAAAACAAAAACAAAGCTTCCTTCGCTCAAAAGGTCACTCAGAAGGAAAGTCTGCGATGAAAGCCTTCACCCATTGATTCCCGCCCATCCCCTTCCATGCACACCTTACCTACTTTCCATATTATTCACTCATTCACCGGGGAATGAGCATCACTCTTGATGAACAATAATGGATTCAGACCCAGCCTTAGTGGAGTTTATTCCCCAGCAAGTCTAGTTCCGATTGTCTTTTAAGGCCTGTCTTCGTGAATGCTTTCCCAGCCCTTAGCTAGAATTAATCTTACCCTTCTTCATAACGCTAAAGCAAGAATCTTGATTTTCTATTAATATTATATTATCAACCATGTCCTGTGTTATATCATAGCTACTTTGTACATATCTTTTTCCACCAATAGATCTTGAATTTCCTAGTGTCTTCACATCATCCTTACACATTTAAAGCTCATTATGGTTGAACAGGATCTTTTTTCCTCACTCGAAAAAGCATTTTTCAACCCTTTAGCTAAGTGCCAGCACAAGTTAGACTGTGTGACAAAGATATGTAGAAAGGGCATTGTAAACAAAAGAAAAAGTTGGAAAATTGCCCAGAGAGCATGGCAAAGTGCTTGGAATGGTTGGCACCCAGGGTTTACATGACGGAGTAATGGGAAACAAGTCCGGATAGGTAAGCATGGGGCTGGTAATAAAGAACTGAGCTTTACAGATGAGGAAGATGAGACACATAGATGTTATTTGATCAGCCCAAATAATGAAGGAATTAGAACCCCTCACCTGATTATCCTCACCATCCAGGCCCAGCACCCTCATGTAAGCTTGGACAGTAATTTTATGCTACCATGCCAATCCAGGGCAATTGGCTGGGAAAAGATGAAGGTAGTGACAGAGAGTGTCTATGACACTAATGTCTGTGTGGTTGGGCCACATTATTCCTCTCTTTGTAGTGATCATGCCACTTGAAGAAAGGCAGAACAATAGGAAGCAAACAACCGAGAAGCTTAGGTGTATTGAAGACAACATTCAGCACTGATCTGTGGCATGCTGTAGTGGCCAGTCTGAGTCCCAGGTTAGTGTGATATAGACCTGGCCTATAAATTACACTCTGAAGCAAATGCCAAGAGTTGCCAATTTTGCCATTTGCTTGTCTCTTTACCTTGAATTTCATAGAACCAATATTTTAAATGGTACCTGGGCCAAAATAATCAGCAAAGGTGTTGAGCAGATAAGTTATCAAAAACTACAGGCCGGGCGTAGTGGCTTGTGCTTGTAATCCCGGCATTTTGGGAGGCTGAGGTGGATGGATCACCTGAGGTCAGGAGATCGAGATCAGCCTGGCCAACATGGTGAAACCCTGACTAAAAATACAAAAAAATTAGCTGGACATGGTGGTAGGTGCCTGTGATCCCAGCTACTCGGGAGGCTGAGGCAGAATAGCTTCAACTGGGGAGGTGGAGGTTGCAGTGAGCCAAGATCTCGCCACTGCACTCCAGCCTGGGTGAGACAGAGCGGGGAAAAAAAAAAAAAAAGCTACACATATCCTATAAACAAAATTAATGTTCAACCTCTCTAGTAATCAAAGAAATAGGAAAAAAGAAAAAAAAAGAAAAATTTTTTTGGCCTATCAAAAAGAACAGACAAAACTAATATTGGGAAAGACATGGGGAAATGGACATTCATACACGGGAAAATTTGATACAACCTCTCTCCAGGGTAATTCGGTGTGATATATTTCATAAGTCATTAAAACATGTTCATCCTTTGGCCTGGCAATTCCACATCAAGGAAATTAATTCTACGGAATTAATCAGGGATGGACACAATGCTAGTTTTGAACTGGGTTTATTTCAACATTATGACTCTAAAAACTTAGAAATAACTCCAATGAGAGGGAAGTAGGATCATAGGTTGCAGGATAGATATGCAGTGGTAGAATATTGACACAGCACAGCATTCTTAATGTAATGCTAAGTGGCAAACAGACTACACAACAGCATGCATAGGGTAAAAGCATTTTTTGAAAATGCAGGCATACATAACTGACATGTGAAGCAAGTAGGAATCATGGAATATAACCAGAAAGCATCTTTAGTTTTGCCTCCTACTATCCCTTTATTTCTTTTTTATTTTTTTAGACAGAGTCTTGCTCTGTCATCCAGACTGGAGCATAGTGGCACCATCTCAGCTCACTGCAACCTCTGCCTCCTGGGTTCCTGCCTCAGCCTCCTGAGTAGCTGCGATTATAGATGCACACCACCATGCCCAGCTAATTTTTTTGTATTTTTAGTAGAGACAGGGTTTCGCCATATTGGCCAGGCCTATCTCAAACTCCTGACCTCAAGTGATCCATCCGCCTCAGCTCAAAGTTCTAGGATTACAGGTGTGAGCCACCGTGTGCAGCCGTCTCCTACTGTCCCTTTGAATGCCACTGGATAAAAACAAAGGCAGTCCCTTGACTTTTCCGGTCACTTTAAGACACAAACACAGTCACAATTCAATGATAATTAGAACATCTGGTCCTAGATTAATCCCAGTTTTATTCAGAGGAGCAGCCCTTCACACAGCCACCGCTTTCTGCAGAGCAACGCCTAGGACAGTGAAGAGGATTTGATCCTTTTCCCTTTCCCTATCAGCCTCTGCCTCTCCACCCTTTCAATAGTTTTTGTGTGTTTGTGTGTGTTTTTGTTTTTGTTTTTTTTCTGTTCCAGGGTTGAAGCGGAGGGTGGCTGGGAGGCAGGTTTGAGTTTGAATGGAAGGCACATGCAGAAAAGCTGTTACTTGACTAGAATGGTTGTGAGGTGGCATCACACTCTCTGGGTAGGGCAGATGTTTAAATCTGCCTCTTCTCTTGTGTGCTCATCTGGGGTTTGCTGAGATGGCCCGTGGGCCGGCGCTGTTCCCCAGTAGCTCTTTCCTTGCAGATGATGTGCTCTCCCCTGCTCTGTGCTAGGAATCCAGGGATTCACCCACAACCTCTTTCTACTCAGGTTTCTTCACCCCTGGAGCCAACTCTAGCAGACATGAACTAAGAGAACCCCATGCCTCTCCTGGGGCCCACATTTTCTCCATGGGACACACTCACACCGTGGTTGCCTGAGAAACCCTGGAAATGAGGACTGATTGACAGCTGAGCTATGCACTTCATTCTGCAGTCAAAGCAACTGGCAGGCCCCAGTTTCTCCAACTCAGACTTCTCAGGCAGGAGGCAGATACCAGTTTACCTCTTCTCCAAACCACAAGGGACATAATTAAGCTCTTCCAGTCGTACCGTTTAAGCTCCCTGGCTCTAGAGAAAGCCTCCTCACAAATCCTCTCTCTGTCTTCACTCTTCCAAGTCAATGCATGTAAGGGGACTTAAAACCCTAGGTAGAGAGATATGGCTTTTGTTTGTTTTTAAAAATCCCACAAAGCAAGTTCTCCTGATTGGTCTTCTCACAGCTCCCTTAGATGTCTTGAATCTCTTGCTTTCATGCTTTAGCTAAAACTGAGAGAGACCTAGTCCTGTTACCACTGCTTTAAAACACATGGATGAACATATGTACACACA